ATATATATATATATATATATGTATATGTATATATATATATATATGTATGTATGATCGTAATAATAATTGCACTTCCATTTTTTTGGTCATGTGGTGTTTGCCAATCAACAAATCAAGTAATTATCATAATTTTGAGAGTTATGTAAAAAAAAAAGATAAGAAACATAATCATGCTTTTATTTGTTCTTTAATTATATAATTAAAATAACTAAGTTATCAATCATATATCTATACCCATATTACGAATTCATTCGATTTTAATTAAATTAACCAACATGAATCATCTCCATTAAATTGTTCATTTTTTCAGCCGATTTAAAAGGTGCTATCAGTGTACCGTCATACAGACCCAGACATTAGACCAAGCAGGAATAGGGATCAAAGTAATGATGCTTAGCTAGTATTTTTGGATGATCAGCCGCACTAGGATTAAGACACGGCCCATACGGAAGGTTTGTCAGCTGGATGTCGGCTCTTCACCACCTGGGACTAAGGGTGCTCATGGGTTGGATTGATCGGGTTGAAGACATTTGAACAACTCAACCTAATGTTTGTGGTTTGGAAAATTTCAACCCAAACCAAAGTGCAATCCAACCATTAACCCAACCCCAAAAGTACGGGTTGGTCGGTTTAATCGAGTTGATACTTTGGTACATCAAAATATTCTCTCAACCTTGGATATATTTTTTTCTCTAATCTACTCGTAATTTGATTTTCTTTATCAACCATTTGGTACAACTTATTCATATTTCTTAAATCTTAAGTATATCATATTCAATTAATATTCTCAATCTATATGTGTGTGTGTTCACATTTACTAAACATGTATACAAATGAGCTAGTTATATAGAGATGGAGAATAAATTTAAAATATATGTATATGAAGATTGTACATGATGTTGTAATTGTCCAATATACATATTAATAAAGATTCAACAATAATATGAAATCAAGAAATAAAAGGATATTGGGTTCATCAGGTCGAGTTTGGTTCAAATAAAAGTAACCTAATATCTACAGTTTGAAGATTTTTACAACTCGATAAGACATTGGGGTGCTTCGGGTTGAGTTATTTCGCGTTGGGTTGGTCAGGTTTTTGAGCACTCCTACCTGGAATTGTAGTATGTTCTAGTGTTATTATATAACTTAAAGTTGAGTGAATTACAGATCAAGTCCCGTGGTATGTCGAAAGTTATGACTCGCGACCCTAAACTCGAAAAATTATGAATATGGTCCCCATGGTTATCAATTTCTTATGACTGAGGTCCCTCTCATTAACGACCTTTAAACAAATTCATAATCCAGATACCTTAGGAATTAAAAGACTAAAATGCCCTTGTTTCTTTGTCAAGGGAAGACGTTGAAGAGGAGATGCAACGGATGGGGAAGGCTTCCCCAGAGAAACGAGATTGCCAACATATAGTTTATGCTTTTGTGTTTTCATTGCGCGTATATGTATAGTTCTCAAATAATTAAGCCCATATATAAGGGACCTTCTTTTAAGACCCGTGCAATTTGTAAGATATTTGAGATCCAATCTCAACCTGACACCACTTAAAATTAACGCTTGATATTAAGTATGCAATTTTGATAATTTTAAACATTAATAATTGTCCTTTTTAAATAAATGGATAATTAATAGGGGCAAAATAGGCTTTTTGTAAAAATAATAATTATGATTAAATTGCGGAAAATCAGATCTATAGCTATTGAAATCTATTCCAGTTCGGAAATAAAAACATCTATTTGCTTCAAAAAAAAATCCAGTACCTAAATCGACCGAAACCCTAAGAGGCTTTCATTTTCACATAGTAAAACAAGCTTTTATATTGGAGATGAATGGCGAAAGTCGATGACAATTAAGAGATGATGTATGTTCACATAGTGAAACAAATATTCATATAATGCTTATGACCTTCATGGTCCTATGAACATCAACGGGTGTTCACATAGTCGTGTGAACATCTTTCTAAAACAGTTGTTTGCAGTTATCAAAAATGATAACTTGTGACCATCATTCTAAAACAACTTCTTTGGATCGTTATCACATGAATACACAAGTGTTCACATGATGCATATGACCTTCATGGTTCCGAATAGTATTTAGGCAGAATCTTAGAAAATTACAACAAATAGGTATTGATTGTAGAATCGCAGAAAATTACAGTATGTAGTCATAGGTGTTTGTCAGAGATTCACCGAGAAAGGGAGGGGAAGCGATTTCGACAAAGAAAGGAGATAAGATGGTGTTTTTGAGATGGGCTTTTGACCCTACGATGGCCAATCGTAGGAGTTCATTGAAGATGGTGAAATGGGGTGGGGGAGGCCGTCAGACATGTAACCATAGTGGAAGATAGAGCTGGAATAGCAAGGGGGAGGTGAGAGCTTTGCCGTAGTAATGAAGAAGGTAGATCATCTGTATCTTGAGGGAGACCGTATAAAGGAGCTTTTTAAGGATAAACCTAATTAAGCCGTGAGAATGAAGATGAAATGAAAATATGAAAGATAAAATTAGTAGTTCACCCTTGCTTTATTAATTAAATAAATATACTTAATTATTTTACTTAATCATCTAAAATGATTGAAGTTAATCCCCGAACATATATAGTCGGGGAAAATGCTAAATAAATGGAAAACCGAAAACTATGAAAAATATATGAATACGAATGTCAAATTAACGAGAAAAATATGATTGTTTTTCTTATATAATTTGTTTCGTTCGAATTTTGATCACATGTCCTATATTTTTTATTTAACATATAGGGGTGGGAATGATTTTTTAATTTAAAAATAAGGTTGTAACCAAATCTTTAATCACATGCATCAGATCAATTAATCCAGTGGTTAATGAATTTTTTTGGTTTTTCATTTTTGTGAGGTTCTCCCATAACCCCTCTCTCTCTCTCTCTCTCTCTCTCTCTCTCTCTCTCTCTTTATATATATATATATATATATGACGAATGATGGGGTGGGAATGAGAGTTAAGATGAGAAGTATAAGAAGAAATATGTGATCACTTTTAATCTCAAACTCACCCGTAAATTGCGGTTGATATGGGGATTGATTTGATCAATCCCGTTGCATTTCATCCTAATGTGCATCTAAGGGTGAAGATCTATTCTTATGCTTCTCGTATTAACTTTTCTTTTCACTAGAACCCAACTCATATATGTAAGTATATAGATATGTATGTATATACGTGTATAGATATGTACGTATATACGAGTATATGTACATAGGCGAATGATCATGTTTGAAGGAAAGTTATGGCGAAAAGCGTAAAAAAAGATCTGAACCTTTGATCACTTTTAATCTCATACAAATCCATTAATTACGCTTTAGAAGAGAATTGATGAGATGACATTCAATTAGTCAAGATCCAAGGTTGGAGATCATTTATTACATTTCTCACCATAATTTCTCTTCTTACCGGAACCCAATATATATATATATATATATATATATATATATATATACACACGAAGGATTGTATGAGAATAAGAGTTAAATTGAGAAACATAAAAAGAAATTACGACTCTTGATCACTTTTAATCTCACTTCATCTCATGAATTGCATATATTACATGAATCTATACGGTACATCAGTGTTGATTTTCAATTAGTTATGATCCAAAGGTCTCTTACCATTCTTACCATAACCAACCCTATATATATATATATATATATATATATATATATATATATATTATATATAGATGGTTTCATTTACAAACTCAACCGATGATACAAACCATACACAAGTATTGAGATCTTTATAGAAATTAATTAGATTTTATTTATTATGAATTTAGATATCTATGAAAAATTATTAGAGTTTATTGATTATGTTGAATGTCTCATATCAAGAAAGAATCGAAATATTAATTAAATCAAATATTCATTAAACTAGATAAACAATTGACACTAATTTGTAAGATTTGTACTAACAGAAAGGTTTATAAATGACCGGCCCTCTGTAGTCTGTATTATATGATATATAAATTTATTCATCTTTAAAAAAATGTAATAATGTTTTTACATACACAACGGCAAATCCGTAACATCACTCTCTAACGTTTAAAAAACAGAAATAAACAAGGTCTCGATTTCTAGGAATTTACATTTTGGCCAAGGACCATTTATGGTACAATTCGTTGAGCTGAAGAAGACTCAAACCTGTGGTTTTAACCTGTAATCGCCAGTTGCAATACATTCAAATCATCGTGTTTCCGGAACGTATATGTCACCGCCGATCGTACTCTAGTACGGCCTTAATAATATTCAAGGAGAAGTGAAAGCATCGTTCGGTTCTAACCAGCTTTCGGTAGGGCTCTTATTCACCAGAGATTCAAATGTACCTTTGAGTTTGCGTAAGCATTTGTGGTAACGAATCCGTCGAAGGACCGCCTCTTTGTGGAGAACCGTAGTAGATCGATGATCAGCGAGTTGCAGTTGAGTTGTGACGGGATCCTGGGTCTCCCACGAGCTGGAAGGGGTTTTAGTATTAGACATCGTAAGAGCCATATATCTGAGGTAGGGGAGTTGGAGGAGAGAGTGTGTGTATATATATATAATATATGAAGCAGTGGCGGTGTTTCTGTGGGTTTTGTGATTGGATGGTGACTGTAACTGGTTTTGGTGTTTTGCTGAAAATGGTGGGTGTCTCCAATGAAAGTCGGCGTACTTGTTTCTATCTTCAATGGATTTTTGAGGTGTACATTTCAATAATTTTGTCTTCAAGTGGTTTAAGTGCCAAATCTGACGGATGAAAATCTCCAAACCATTAAACAGGGACGGACCCAAAAAAATTTGGATATAATGGTATCATATAAAATGATTATACTTTTAAGAATAAAATGATTGCATCGACTTAATTTTTTTTACTTTAATACGAAGGAACAATATGGTGGCAGTTGACACGTGCCACCTAAGCACCCCACTAGGTTCGTCTATGCCATAAAACAAATCCAATTTTGACTTCTTTAAATAATCAAAGTTTACACGGAATAATTTTTTGGCGGAATGTTTTTGACAAAAAGAAAAAAAAACATCGTCACGTAAAAAAAAACCTTTTTTTGTCTAAACGTTCTACTTTATTAAAAAAAATTACATTTTTTATTAGTTATTTAATTTATATTATATCTTTTAATTTTTAAAATTACATATTTTTATTATACTAATACATGTAATTATATATTAATTAAAATATATCTTTTGTTTAACATAAATTAACCTGGTTCATCAAGAATGGTCATATACAAATGGTTTTTTACAGTCTTCAGCAGACAAGGTTGATTCAACATTCTTTTAGTCAAGTGCTCCAACAACCTCATCGACAGTAGCATCTTCATCCATACATATGCCACACTGATCAGATCACCAAATTGCATCATTTAATTACTTGCACAAACGAGAAAGTTTAATAGCCAGCCTCTTATCTCCACAATCAAATTTTGGAATTCACTTTTCCCTCACTTACCGGATAAGAATCTCGTTTGTTGCTAAGTCTACCTAAGAACATATCCACTACATTAACATTATTAGGTAAAGCATGTATTGTTGTTACTTGATTGATAATGTAATAACTAACATATAGCTCATATCCTAAGAACCAAAAAAGAAAGAATCTTACAACCTTTAGACAGCAATTCGTTAATCTGAAAATCACATTATGAATGAACAATATAAATAGCTTTTCAATGAGAAGGGGGTGTTTTACCTTGAATGTGCAGTCGCATAGTAAGAAATGCCACCAATTGGGGTAGATTGGCCTGAGTATTCAAACTCCTTTCGTTATCCCAATAGATCAACCAAGAATTTTCACTTAATTTAGTGTGGAGCAAATGCATACAAGTATAAGTAGTACAAATGCTTGACCTCTGGTAGTTCAAATATAATATGGATACCTGAGAGATGAAATAAAGGTTGGATACGAGTGCAGACTGAAAGAATGATTGGCATGTTGGAAGTACAAAACCTTGATGGGATATGAGCTTTGCTTCCCACGAGGCAAAACAACACAGAAGCCTTGGAAGTAGATAACAATAAGGAAGATCCAAACAATCGCCGACATCAGGTAGATTTTGCTAGTAGAAAGATTCCCACAAAACCCAAACTTTGCTTGATCTAATCAAAAGATGGAACAGGTGAAACCAAATAAATTGAAACAAAACAAAACCCTGTTTCCAAGTAGCTATAGATTGTTCATTCATAAAGCAAAGTCATAGCTTGAAGATGAGAGGAGTTATCATGTTCTAAACAAATAAGAGAGTAACTTTCCATCTAATATAATTTGGTTCACACATGTATCCTTTTGAGGCATTTCTTCAAAAAAAAACACATATTTATATTGAATATAAAATAATTTTATACCTTTCTATCTATTGATATGTGTCTATATAATGGGGTGTTTGTGAGTTGGGTTGATCAGGTTGACAACATTTGAACATTTCAATCTAATATTGTGGTTTGAAAATTCTCAACTCAAACCAAAGTGCAACATAACTGAACCTAAACCGCATGGGTTGATCGGGTTAGTCAGATTGATACTTTGGTACATTAAATTGTTTTTCTGACCTCGAATATGTTGTTTTTTATACTAATAATTATTTTTTCATCATCTATTGTTTGGTACAGCTTATCCATACTCCTTAAATCGTAATTATACCACATTCAACTACTTTTCTCAATTTACATATATATGTTCACATTTGCAGCACATATATACGAATGATTTATATAAAGATGGAGAAGAGATTGAAAATATATGTATATAAAGAGAATATATGATGGTGTAATTGTCTAATGTACATATTAATTAGGACTTAACATTCATATTAAATCCAAGAAAATAAAGATATCAGGTCATCAAATTGGTTTGGGTTCAAATGATCGTAACTCAATTCCAACTTAATACCTATCGTTTGAAGATTTTACAACTCGATTAGACATTAGGTGATTTAGGTTAAGTTATTCCGCGTTGGGTTAGATTGAATTGGGTGGATCAGTCGGGTTTTTAGCACCCCTATCTATACATATAATATACACATCATATATCCGTGTACAGATGCAATAATGTAGCATACAGATTTAAGTATACATGATCTTTAAGATAAATGAGACGTTTTCTTATTACTAGTTGTGTACCCGCACAATGCAGCGGGAGTCATGAATTTTAACGATTTTGAAGTTCCACTGGTTTTATAAGATAAGATTTAACGATGATATGTGTTACACTTGGTCTTTACATATAAATACAATTTGAATAAATGAGAGTTATGGTTCCAATTACAGACTATCGATGAAAAAAATTGTATGACAGTTTAAAATCCAATATATTTAAAATCCAACATATTTAAACGACTCTACAAATGTGTTCGATTTACACCAAGAATAAAGAACCAAGAAACTTGAGTTTTAAGATAAGCACTCAAAACCAATAAAGAAAACTATTTGACAAATCATAAGCCATGAAAAAACCAAAAATGATGGGTTTTAGAATAAAATTTCAACTGTTTACTTTCTTGTCCAGAAACTCAGATTAAGTTTGAATTCATACATGTATATATATATATATATATATATAGACTTAGGATCATGTGAGACCAGCCTGTTTTCGTGAGACCCGTGAGACCAATATTTTACACTTGAAACTTCACAGCAAAATGTTGTGAAGATGACTTTTTAAAACCTTCACAATGTTTTTGATGTAAAGGTTCGACTTTTTTTAAACCTTCACAATGTTTTTGCTGTGAAGGTTACGTGTAAAAATATGGTCTCACGGGTCTCACGAAAACAGGTTGGTCTCACGTGAACCCAACCCTATATATATATATATATATATATATATATATATATATCAAAAAAACCCAAGAACATATTAATTCATAACATATTATACAGTGCAATTTGGACAGCCTAACCCCAAAATATATAGTATATATATATATATATATATATAAATGATTATAAAAGTATAAATCGTAAATATTAAAAATATTTTTTCACAGTATATATAATATATAATAATATAATTAAGTCAAAAACTATTCAATATTAGACTCMTTTTGAAGGCATTAACGAGACGATTAAATGGTGTAACTTGTTAAAATAAAAATGTATTTTTAAACATGTTTTAATTGATATACGATTATGTTTATTAATTTGATAAAAGTTTAAAATGAAACATTTAAAAGTAAAGAACGTAAAGTAAATTAATTAACTAATTATAGGGGTATAAAGTGTAAATTTAAAATTATAATTTTAAAAAAATCGGGTTGTGAGAGGGTGAGTATATGTGAGAAGAGGAGAGGAGAGAGTGAAAAAAGGTATCTTGGTCATTTAGTATTTTAAAACTTTTAAGACTTTTGTTAAATTTGTTTTATAAAATAGTATAGATTAAATAAATAAAATTTGATTAATAAAAAGAGTAATTACATTCCTATCCCTCTGGTTTACACTGAATCATGGAGTCTATCACAAAACAAAATAATACCATTTATCGTTCTCCTGGTATGCATTTCATTGCGAGATTGACACTTCCTCTAATTATGTTAAGTCGGGTCACTTAATTCAAAGATATTTTAATTATTTTCATTTATTATTTATAAAATAACTTTGAACGACCAATCAAATATTGTCATGTGTCCCTCTTCCCCTCTACTCTCTGCTTTCTTGTACACCCTTTCCTATTGTCTATTGACACCTCCACCTTCCACCCGTCATATAAACCTCTCGCAACCATCCCTAATTCCAAACCAACGAAGAGAACATGAATTGGAATAGGAGTAGGAGTAGGAGTAGATCACAGGGACCGAAAATTTAGGAATGAAATCCATAAATTTAGTGTAATTATGTAAACCAGAGGGACCAAAAATGTAATTCATTCTAATAATATAAAATAAAAGGATTTAACGTCACAAAGGCATTTATTTATATGGGGGGAAACAATGGGCAAATTGGGGAAAACAGCGGGTACCTGAACAGGGTCCATCCCACGGTTTTGGATTTTTATTAATAAATAACCTCAAACCCATAACTAACCTGAAAGATATTTAACATTAAAAACGTGTGAGTTTCAATTGTAATATGTATTTTTATTTATTAAAAAGACAACAATATATTAAAATCAATTAAGAACAAACAAGTCTAAAAACCTGCATGGGACGTCCAATAAAACAAACAATTGATCATAACCCACTAACAAGAACAGGTAGTCGGGGTACAATAATACAATGTCCAAAACCCAGAGAAAGCTTTGAGACAACCATTGGAATGAGGCAAGTTGGATATTGATCACTGACTACCAAACATAAGTTTATTTCGAGAACTCCAAATAAAGGGAGATCCAAACCACGGCTGACAACAACTTACTCACCGAGGGCGATGCAGAAAACAACTCAGATGAGTCTAAACGACAGAAACCGAACCAATAGCATGAGGGTCGAAGCTCCACCACTTCAAAAATAGTTTTGTTTGGGTAAATTTAGATCATGTGAACTTAATTGTTTAATGTTTGAATATGTAAACATTACATAAAACAAAAATCATACAAACTTAATGTTATTTCGATAGTAATTAATGATAAAGTTGATTAGATTTATTAAGTTTTCAATTAGGAAATATGAGTTCAACCCTCATGGTTTACTCATTTTTATAGTCGATTGATCATGTTAATTTTTTGTAAAGATAAAATTTAACATATGATTTAATTTATGCTTAAAAAAAAGTATATCATGACTATCGAAAAGATAAAGTAACTAAAAAGTGACGTCATAAAGCATCTCTATCCGGGGACCAATGGTGGTTATGATTTACGAAGAAGGTCCCTAAACTCTAGAAATCATGGCAAAAATGAAATTTATTTAGAGTAAGGTACTTGATTCACGTTTAATAAAAAGTGAAACTACGAGGATTCTGGTCATGAATTTTAGAGTTCAATGACCTTCTTAACCAACGTGAAAACATAAGCAATGGAATTTGTAAATTACTCTAAAATTATTCTTTTAATAATAAATAACTAATAAGGGATTTGGAATTCAAAATCTAAAGTTGGTCAACAATATTGCTTGTTGAGGGGTACAATTACCTAATATACAAATACACTATTAATCTGTTTCTGAACTATAATGAGAAAATCAGGGAGCATTATCTCCCGTTATGCAATCCATCACAACTCACAACTCACAACTCACATACATGGGATATATGTCAAAATCCCTTGTAAAGATGCGAAGAAACTATATAAATAAGAAAAGAAAATTTCATTATAATATAATAAGATTTAATATGTTATCTTTATTTATAAATAGCCCCGATTTTAAAATGTAGAGCCAATTAAATTGGAATACTTAAAGATGATTTTGTATATAAAGAAATATAAATAAAGGATAGAACTAATTATATACTTTTTTATTTTAAAATAAATATTTATAACAAAAAAAAATTAGCTCATCATTTTTTTTAATGTATCTATATTAGTCAAAACTTATCAAAAAGATTTTCTCACAAATCTTTTTATTTTTTGATAATCATAACATTTGCATTTAATTTTCAACTTTTGTCTGTTCTTTATTTTTGAGTTAAAGAATTATTGTATTCAATATAGAATATCGTCAATAGTAACCATACAAAATTTTAGAAAATGCAATTCTCCTCGTTACAATTGGAATATATAGAAAGTAGAAACACGACTCCAATGCAATAATGTAAACAACAATGTATGTTGATCGCTTAATCGCTTAATGAAAATAACAAAATTGGTAGTAATGAAAACCAAATTGCCGTGTTCTTCCGAAAAATTCAATGGTACTTTCATGTTCTGAGACTTAATTGGTCAACAAATACTTAGATTTATTGCATTACCAAGAAAAGAGAACTTTAGAAATATATGTGATTTGAAACCAAAATAATAAAGATAAGATATATGAAGTATGCATTATGAATTTTATGATAGATGTTTATTTACATTTGAATATCATCCTTGTGTATATTTCTCAACACCACACGATAAGCTAATAGCTCTTGCCAAAAATCAAAACGTGGAATTGGTTTTATGTTTATATACTTTCTTTTATTATGCATTATATTTTTCTTTTTGGAAAAGCAAGCTTCCTAATTAATGAGATCTTACTATTAATTGTATATATATGTACTATTATGATCAAATACCCAAGCCAACAGCTACCTTGCAGCTATCTGCAAGAAAAGAAATATAATTAGACAATTTTTATAGATTTAGATCGTATATTGAATTTGAACTAACCAATGACTTTCAAAACATTAGTCAATCGGGTGGGCCAAAAAACTACCACTAATCACAATGTTTGATGATGACCAACAAGTATGTTTTTTTGGACACAAATCATTTCTATCATAATTTTTGGTTCATTGTAATTGCAATGTTTGACTTATTTTACACGTTACATATTTTTGTTAAATAGACAAATATTTAACTTAAGGGTCGTTTATCGAATAAATGTTTACCAGGTCAATAGGTGAGCATAAGAAGGACCGGAAATTTTACTCGGTAAAAGGAAAGACAGGATTGCGTCTTACCCGATAAGCACTTAAATAACTGGTGATAAACACTCATCATCAAACCATTTTGATATCTGAGAATATTATCCGATAAGGTAAATAAATGTAGTAACTCATTTTCGTAAATATTTACCGGGTAAACATTTGGTAAACGACCCAAATATATAACATTTCAACCATTAAGTAGATAAGACCTAATCTAAGCTATAATGTCTATGGTGCTTAGCATTAGTATTAGTGTACCTGATAAATGAAGGGATCAGTCCTCCCTCCAGCTCCAGACCTTCTCACCTCCTCTTTTTTCAGCAACCTACCATTTAAGCACCCATCATATTTACACACATGGTTTTTGAATTTGACATAATTACGGAGTGTATTTTCACTGAAGGTTGAAGACTCAAATGTTTTTACTGGTAGCTTTTTTTTTTAACATAACTCTTTACTTTATAAGAAAATGAAATCATTTTAATTAAAAATGCAAAACATATTGAGAGAAAAAAAGGTACAAAATAAAAGTTGAAAGAAGTCGGGTAATCTAACGGTCAACAAGGGATTGTATGCAACTGATAGCGATATGCCACGTGGCACTTTAGGTCATAAGAATTTGTATGCCACGTGGCATGCTACTAAGGAATTGTGTGTTAAAGAGGAAGGCTATGTTTTACATTCGCAAGGCTTTGCTGGTGTCCGGGCTGTCGCCGAGCAACTGACGTATGCGCACTTCCGAAGCGGATCCATTATGAGCCAGCACCTTCAATATGGCTTCAGACCGGCGGAGTAGATGAGTCGAGCTAACCGCAGGCGACGGCTTCTTCTTCACATCCTGAGCCAACGGCTTCTCTTTCATTGTCTTCGACTTGCAGCTTTCCGAGCTGGAAACCAAGCTGCTGGAGCCACCTGACAAACATGAGGAAACTTCTGTAGTCTCCGACGAGCTACACGACGCAAAAACATTAATCTTCTGTGCGACATTCGAGATTTTACGGCAATCGGAAATCCATAACGTCTTCGATCTGCTCTTTCTAACCACCTGCAAATGAATCCAAAAATCTATCAGTAGGACTGTAGGAACTCAAAACTATGTAATCACATTGAGCAATAGGAATCGGAATCGACCGGAGAGCTGATTGTCTGCGTTGATTTGTTATATAATATAATGAAAAATAGAGTTGAACGATGCAACGGAATCGGATTATTGTATAGAATACTGAAGGATCAAAACCATATACGAAGGTGGAGTAAGTCATAACTACGATCAAGCCGTGTAAACATATATCATGAGAATAGCTTCAAATGGAAATGAACCAGTGCAGCGTGAAAATGGAGCAAGGCAGGCGAACCATATCTGAGTTCAGAGAATATATATATACCTGACAGATAAGAAGCTAGAGTAAAAATTCTCAAAAACAGAGGTTTTGAAGAAGATAAAGTTCAGGACATAAGGTTTTAGATTTCGAATAGAAACTGATCCAGAAGGAAAGTCATCCATAAGGAAGCGAATTTGCACATTAATATCGAACTAGAGCCCTAAATCGATCTAAACTGGGGATTTTATTTTATTTTATTATCAAACAGAGCCTCAAGTAGGTCGATCTAATCAAATCAAATCCACAAACTATAAACGATTACCTTGAGCTTCATCTCATGATCAGAATAAGCAACAGCGGTAGCAACCATATGAAGACCACGTCCATGAGCTTCATCCGATGAAACATCGTCGCTACTCACAGTAGACGAAGCAGAAGACCTCGAAAATGATTTACTCAACAACAAACTCTCAGCATGATCAATTTCGCACTTACCTGTGATTCTCTCATTGCTAAACGCATCCAAAAACAACAACAAAAACTCATCCAGCTACAAATCAACGTAAACTCAAATCATAGCAATGCTGTTAATTCAATTTTTGACTTACCTTGCAGACGAGGAAAGATGGAGAAGAGCTGAAGCAACAATCTCTTCAGTCGAATTTGGAAATGGTGATTCCATTTTATCGTACTTGTGATTTCAGTTACAGCAGGCGGGAATGAAATTTAATTTGAAAATTTGGAAAGATTTGATCTGGTTTTTGTTTCTAAACCATTTGGTTACGGTTGGTTAAGCGTGAGTGTGAGTGTGTGTGTTAACTGAAACATGGGTTAAGCAAGCCAAGCAAACAAGGTTCCCGATCCCGACCTCAATTTATCTCCGGCTCAATAATTTGGGTACTCGCCTACTCGGTTTATGTTGTACAAAAATACATGATTTTAGGTTTATTTCGAGCCAAATTCAACCAAATCATAAGTGCTCGTATAACACCATAAAATTATATTACATAATACCTGAATGCTTAGTAGTTATGGATGCTTAGCGGTTCATAATAAATGACCAGTAATGTTACATACTTTTAAAAATGCATTTTAATAATCTTTTAACAAAATATATAAAACTATGTATTTGATTAGAGCGATTGATTATTTTAATTAATTTTCCTGTAAATAAATAATGTGTCTGAAATCATCTATTCTTGTAAAATATGATGTTTTTCTTATTTTTAATTAAAAAATCAATTTATGTAATCTATACTATATTATAAATCATTTAACAAAAACTCTTAAATACTATTTTTTTTTATGTATAAAGTACTGTTTATTAATGCATGTTACTTAAAACTCAAGATTACAAGTAGAGTGTGCATAAATATAACTTACTAAACCTCCATATCTGAATTCGTGTAACTAACTGCAAATAAACATAATCAAACACAGTATAAACACCTCATTTTAAATATAAAAAATCTAAAATATAATTAGGATAATCATTGAGTTCTAACAAAAAACTTAATTATTATCTTTTAAATATAAAAAATCTAAAATATAATTACGATAATCATTGAGTTCTAACAAAAAACTTAATTATTATCTTTATAAAATGTTATATTATTAAACCAAAAAATAAATTATTTCATTATACTTCTTAGCATTTTAAATCAAATAAATTATTTCATTATACTTCTTAGAATTATACTTCTTAGCATTATAAATTGGATTTTTTGCCCATTTTTCATGTCATCTAAGTTCAGAACTCACACACACACTAGAGGTGCGATTTTCACACACATAGGCTCGATTCAACTCAAATCAAAGAAGAACTACAAGATCTTTGAAGGATTTGATCATCAAGTAAGGTATAATCTATTTTTGCACTTGTTCTTGGTTGACATTCTTGTTTTATGGATTGCATGTTGAGATAGAATTAGGGTTTCATATGGGTTTGATCTTAAGTGTATAAAATAAGTGCATTTTAGTGTTTATGACATGAAATGATCATTAGATTCAAAAGATTATCAATATTTAAGCAAGTTCATCATATGAACTTGCTCTTGAACAAGTCAATGATTTGGGAGAGAATATAAATGATAAAATAAATGTTGGATTTTGGTTGTTTATGTCAAATATGTTATATTAAGTTGAGATTCAGAAGTTGGAATAATTTGGAATCGAAATGGTTTGAGAAAAATGTTTGAAAATGAGAATGTTGACTTTAGAATGCATTGAAAGTGTGCAGACTTTCGAAAACTGTATAAAATCATATAAAAATCCAAATGAGATGAGGCCAATTTCCTTAGTTAGATATTTAGGTCTAGTTTATTTCTTATTTTATAATCAAGGCATGAATTCGAGTTTAAAATAGGCAAAACAGTTCTGCATGCAACAGCTGTAAATAGAAAATTAGGTAAAATGTTCAAATAGGATATGTGTTTAACATGGGTTTCTTATATTGGTTGCTTATGAGATTTTGTACATTTACTCCAGGGGGTAATTAGAACATATTTTGATGCTTTGGAAGCAATATAAGTGTGGTGGCTTGGACTTGCTTTGTGAGCTCATTTTGGAGCTTTTCGGTATTATACGGTTGTCCGGTGAGTTATATAGTTAATTGTTACATATTGATTTGAACATATATATTTTCATATGAATGTTTTTGGTCTAGAATTGAGTCACACGATCTTGATTTGTCTTTGATTCCGTCTCTTGAGTCGATTCCATATTATGATCTCGTTACATCGGTTTGTTTTCCGGATCCGGACTCGTTGTTTTTGTTCCTTGAATTGTACGCCATAGTACGGGTACTACTTCATGTGGCACACCGGAAGTTTATGGCAAAGTCAAGATCCCGGGTTGGACGGGTGGGACTTTTTGTGGTTGGGAATACTCATTGCTCAAAGAGGAGGAAGAGCAATGAGTAGGGAACCTTGGCACATACCCGGTAGAGGAATGCAGGCAGTGCGAGGTTTTCTGTAATGTACGATTCTGACTAGGACTTTGGCATGAGCCCGGTAGGTGAAGGACGGGGTGATGCACTGTCCTCGTTATGTTTACCAATTCGATCTCTTGAATCTTGATATTTATTGGTACTCTAACGTTGTTGAATATATTTGGTTATTGATCCTGATTCCTTGTTGTATCGAGCATCAAGGGTATGGTATATCACGGTGATTTGAATATGGAATTTTATGATCTTGGCATCATGTACGTAATTGTTCGCTCGGTTTCTTGTAAGTCTCGGTTTGCATTTAGATGATGTCTTGAACTCTTTTATTGATAAGAGTTTATTATGTATGTTTATAAACATGTACGATATTGATATGTAATACTTAACTATTTAACTCACTAAGTGTTGACTTACCATTTAAGTGGCAACCTCTCTCAGGAAGAAGACGGATAAAAAGAAAGAACTTGTTGTTTGACTTGAAGATTTATCGGGGAACTTGAAGATTACGATCTTGCTTTTGGGTAAATAGTAGCKTATTACCGTATCTCATAGTTGTAGTATGTGTAGCTTATATATAGTCTTGTCCCGTATTCTTTTGCTACATAATTCAGGTTGTAAGTAAAAACTCCGTTATATCCGGTTTGGAATTATGTTTCGGGTGGTTTTATCACTAAAATAGAATGAATATTTCGAAGTTTTTCTAGAAAATTAATATCCCATATTTTGAGGTTCATTAATGTTATGCCCAGATCTTTGTGTTTCAAAGGGTTGGTCCATTTTCATCGCCTCTGGTTCATTTTCATCGCCTCTGGTCCATTTTCATCGCCTCTAGACCATTTCATCGCCTCTGGTCCATTGCCTGCCTCTGGTCCATAGGGGCTTTGGTCTTCTTCCAGACTTAGTCATTTCAGCAGTCTCTGGTCTATCGTCTGCCTCTGGTCCATAAGGGCTCTAGTCTTCTTCCAGACTTAGTCATTTCAGCAGCCTCTGGTCTATCGCCTGCCTCTGGTCCATAGGGGCTCTGGTCTTCTTCCAGACTTAGTCATTTCAGCAACATTTGGTCCATCGCCTGCCTCTGGTCCATAGGGGCTCTGGTCTTCCTCCAGACTTAGTCGTTTCAGCATGATCTTCAGATTTTTCATCCTTGGCCCCGATTATTTTGATAAAACTTTTAGAATAATTAAGATAAATTTTTGGTCCTAGCAATCAATAATTTATATTTTATTGGAGATTTTATAAAATTGGTAATTTGAGGATTTCTTGAGCGTGATTGTTAAATATTCGAAAATAAAAACATTATCGCTTTCTCAAAATCACATAAAATCGTATTATATTGACATAAAAAAAGAATAAAAGAAAACATTGAAATCAAGATATGTCTCGATGCATTGCACGAGTACTCTTCTAGTATTATAAAGACAAATATGTTAATAGATTTCCTGAATTTTATAAATACTTATTGTATTAAACTAGAATGATACTCGTGCAATGCAGCGAGATACATATTTCTTTTAATATTTCGTTTTATTTGTGTCTGTTGATATAATATGATTTATGTTGCTTTGAGAAAGATAATGTTTTTACTTTTGAATAAAAATAAATTTAGAAAAAACATATTGATATTAATATCAAATTAACTATTTAAAAAAATTTGTTTTTTTATATAATTTATCTAATTTATTTTTTATTATAATTTAATTTAAATCAAATAGTGAATACTTGTGTCCCAAATTTCAAGAATTGGGTCGTAATAAAGGATATAATTGACAACTCGAAGTTGTAGATTATCACTTTCCTGCAAGAGATCCGGCGGGAAAAGTTTTCCTAAATTTATACCATCCGTTTTTTTATATGGGACTACAGGTGTAATTTATTTTTGGCTTAACAATAAATTTTTTATAAAGATAATAATTTTGTTAGAACTCGATAATTATCTTAATTATATTTTAGATTTTTTATATTTTAAAATGAGATGTTTATCCTTTATTTGATTATGTTTATCCACGGTTAGTTACACGAATTCAAACATGAAGCTTTAATAAGTGATATTTATGCATAATTTACTTATAATCTTGAATTTTAAGTAATGTACATCAATATATAGTATTTCATGTATAAAAAAATGGTTTTTAAGAATTTTTGTTAAATGTTTTATAATATAGTATAGAATACTAACAAAAGGCTTGGGTTGGGGGTAATTGAACAAGATCGAGGTTATTGGGCCTCTCTTGCGAAAGGGATTTCATTCTCGGGTCAAAAACCAACAGATCTCTGGGAAAAATGATCTGAAGATATGCACTCAGACCACCATCTCCCTTCCATTCTCAAGCAATGCGTAGCTATCTTGCTCTCTTCTGCAACTTCAATCCACAAACTCAAACAAGTTCATGCTTTTTCAATCAGGCATGGCGTTTCTCTCAACAACCCAGACATGGGCAAACATCTGCTCTTCACTCTGGTATCCTTCTCTGCACCTATGTCCTACGCCCACAATATCTTCAACCAAATCCGTAACCCCAGGATTTTCACTTGGAACACCATGATTAGAGGATTTGCTGAGAGCCAAAACCCCAAACCGGCCATCGATATACACCGCAACATGCGGATACTTGCTGTTGAACCCGACACGCATACGTACCCATTTCTTTTGAAAGCCATTGCCAAGTTAATTGCTGTTAGAGAGGGTGAGGGGGTGCATTCGATAGCGACTAAAAATGGGTTCGGGTTGTCGGTGTTTGTACAAAATGGTTTGGTTCATATGTATGCTGCCTGCGGGCGTGCCGAGAGCGCACACAAGCTGTTTGAGGAAATGTCTGACAGAAACCTTGTTAGTTGGAATTCTATGATTAATGGATTCGTTTCGAATGGGAAATCTATTGAGACTTTGACCCTTTACAGGGAGATGGGTGAGGAGGGGGTGGAGCCAGATGGTTTCACTTTGGTTAGCTTGCTTACTGCTTGCGCAGAGCTTGGGGCATTGGCATTGGGTACGAGGGTTCATGCCTACATGTTTAAGGTTGGATTGGCTGAGAATGTACATGCTGCTAATTCCGTTTTGGATCTTTATGCAAAAACTGGAAACATATCAGAAGCACAAAAGGTTTTCGATGAGATGAAAGAAAAGAGTGTCGTATCATGGACTACGCTTATTGTCGGTTTGGCTATGAATGGATTTGGCAATGAAGCGATCGATCTTTTCAAGAAGCTGGAGAGAAAACAACTAACACCAAATGAAATCACTTTTGTTGGGGTACTATATGCTTGTAGTCATTGTGGAATGGTCGATGAGGGATTCACTTATTTCAAACGAATGAAGGAAGAATTCGGGATCGAGCCTAGGATAGAACATCATGGATGCATGGTTGATTTATTGGGACGATCAGGCCGCATACAACAAGCTTACGACTATATTCTTGCCATGCCATTACAGCCGAATGCAGTCGTCTGGCGGACCTTACTGGGATCATGCACGATGCATGGTCATTCGGCTTTAGCCGAGGTTGCAAGAGCCCAACTCATACAATTAGAACCTAAACACAGTGGAGACTATGTTTTGCTATCAAACCTCTATGCTTCTGAAAAACGCTGGTCAGACGTGTCAAAAGTGCGAGAAAGAATGCTAGATCAAGGGATACAGAAATCTCCAGGCCATAGCCTTGTTGAATTAGGAAATTGTGTGTATCAGTTCGTTATGGGTGACACGTCTCATCCAGAAAGTGAAGATATCTACGCGAAATTGATAGAGATCACCAAGTTATTGAGGTTAGAAGGTTATGTGCCACATGTTGCAAACGTGCTTGCGGATATAGAAGAAGAGGAAAAGGAGACGGCTTTATTGTATCATAATGAGAAGATAGCAATCGCGTTTATGCTCATTAAGACACCTCCTGGAACTCCGATTAGGGTTGTGAAGAACTTGAGGGTATGTGCAGATTGTCACATTGCGATAAAGCTGATTTCGAAGGTTTATAAACGAGAAATCGTGGTGAGAGATCGAAGCCGGTTTCACCATTTTAAGGATGGTTCTTGTTCCTGCAAAGATTACTGGTAAGTAGATTATGCACTAAACATGGGATTTGGTGTTTCAAGTGTTAGATCAAATCCTATAGGTCCTATCATTCGTTGGTCGGAAGGTCTAAATGGTTTCCATAGAAACTATGAACTAGCCAAAAAAACCCGAAAAAGTATAAACGAAAAAAGAAGGTAGAATAGGTATTAGTTTGATGATTTTGTGTCCAATGGATGTTTTTGAAAGGGATTTGGATTTTGTAGAAAGATTTAGAATTAAAAATTTTGGTGGGTTTGTTTCGTTGAAATTGGAATGGAATTAAATTTTATTTTTAGGGTGTGTTTGATACACCGAACAAAACATAAATGAATGTTTCTAGTTTGGCTTGACTTTTACGTGAAACAAACAAGAATAGAGTGGAATACACCTCCACCTTATGGAACAAAGTGGACCTTCAGAATAAAACATGATTCTCTTTTAAAACATCAAATACGTAATTTGTTTTAGATTTTATCAATTCTTTAAATTTTATTGATCATATTTCATTATCTTTAAACTTTTACTTTATTGTCTTCAAAATATTGTTTTTATAAAGCATTTAATAAAAACTCAAAAACTATTTTTTATGTATAAAGTATTGTTTATTGATGCATATTACCTAAAATTCAAAATCATAAATAAATTGTGCATAAATACAACTTATTAAAGCTTCATCTTGAATTTGTGTAGCTAATTATAGATAAACATAATTAAATACGGGATAAATATCTCATTTTGAATATAAAAAATATAATTAGAATAATCATTAGTTATGACAAAATACTTAATTATTATTTTTATAAAAATTATATTACTAATCGATAAATAAATTATTTCGTTATTAAATTTAAATTAAATTATAAATAAAATATTGAATTAGAGAAAAGTATACAAAAAACCATAACTTTCAATAGTAAATTTGATATTAATATTGATATATCTTTTTTTCCAAATTCTTATGATATCTTTAAATTTATATTTTATTCAAAAATAAAAACATTATTGCTTTCTCAAAACATTAAAAACCGCATTATATCGACAAAGATAAATAATAAAATGAAATATTAAAATTGAGATATATCTTGCTATATTATGCGGGCACCCTTACATGGATCATCCTACAAATAAAGACTTGGGCCTGTTTTGATGAAAGCCAACAATTGGCTGTCGAATTTCGTCTCGCAACTAGAATATAGGAAAGGTATAAAATAAAATTTGGAAACTAATAAACTTCATATTTTGTTATCATTTTAATTGTCTCGATGAAATTTTTTTACTGATATATTTTGTTATAAAAAATATTTAATATATTATAAGTTAATAAATTACATAAGTTAATCAAAATATAGAAAAAAATATATAAGTAACTTATTAGGGGTAAGTTGGTTATTTTACTAGATTTATTCTATCTTATCAAACGCTAAACAAAAGTGTTGTCCTATTTCGTCCTCTACTACTGGATGCCAAATGCATCCGTATAAATAATCTTTAGTGGGTTTGCTTTTTAGCGTTTTAGTGTTTTATCTTGATCTGGAGGGGTCTCCCCCTCCCTATAAAAAAAAGCATCAACCCTAAAAATGGTGCCGATTGGTTTGAGTTTAGGCCACAAAGGTCAAAAGTGTCTGGAGATCTCAGGTTAGAATACAAGGAGGAATAAAAATCCCCTTGTAGTCACGGAGGTTCAAATGTGGTGACTCCGGGCTACCCGTTTTGCCTGAAATTAGTCGGCTTGTATAGCGAGTTGGATATTCATGTTAATAAAAAAAAAGGCCATCTAGAATGATTGTCATGATATATGGCGTGTTATCCATAGTCGACTCGCGCTATATAATCGGGGAATCAATTTGGATACAATTCTTTGCCCGAGATGTAACAAAGACTGTGAGATGATAGACCATTGCATTTTGAGTTGTTCGATTGCTAGAAAGGTTTAGGCTTTATTTCGAAGATGGTGGAACATCAATGTCGAATTTGGTTGCTTCACGTCCGAGTTGCTAAATTCCCAAGGGGGCCCTTCCTTCTCTCCATGGTTAAATCATGTCTTACAAGCTTCTATTTAGGCTACCTGCTACTTACTTAGGAACCACCATAACAACACAGTCTTCAGGAACAAGTTGGACTATGCCGAGATGCAAGTCCGAATTGTCGAATGGTTGTCGAGACGAATCGGTAAAGGAAACATTTTCTTGGAGATTGTGGCTTGAGAATCCATCTTGCCTCTCCCTCACTGGATGAGACGCCCTTCGGATTCGTATCCCTCTGTCAGGCCTTATATGTTTGTTAAACGTTAGCTCGGGCTTTTAATTGTTAGTTTCTTTTCCTTTTCTCAATTACCGCATCTCGTAGTTTCTTTGAGAGCGTTTTTCTTGTATTATACTTTTTTCCCGTCTTAATAACAATTGTTGCCTCTAAAAAGAAATTGTACATAGTTATGTTCTAAACATTACTTCACTCTCTTGTTATCTTGGAGAAGTGTTGCACTAACAATCCCGACATGGCAAAATCGTAATCTCACAATGAGTTTCACCTTCGTTCGGAGAAAGGCAAACAAGGAACCTTTTTGTAGGACACTTCTTGAAAAAAAGTAAATAAAGTCCAGTTCTTGGAGACTCTTTTTTATAGGTTGTCATTCGAGATCTTTTTAAAATCATTGACAACTTTTGTGCCGTTATCTTCAAGAGGTCCGTACAAAGAATAATATTACAGGGTGAGTTAGGGCCTAAGATCAGGCCGAAAGGCGTAGTCGATAGACAACAGTGAATATTCCTGTATTACCCCTTGTTGGTCCTGATGGACGGAGGAGGCTAGGTTAGCCGAAAGATGGTTATGGGTTCGAGGACGTAAAGTGATCTTGTTTTTTTAGGATAAGAAGGGGTAGAGAAAATACATCGAGCCAATGTTCAAGTACACGGCGCTGAAGTAACCCAAAAGATTAATAACATTTTATAAGGAAAAACCAAAATAACAACAACAAAAATACTCAGAGACATAAAAGGCTAGCTATTAGCTCTTGGGGTTGCTCTCTATCATGAAAATGGTATCTTGGGAGTTAGATCTTTTTGAATTTTCCGAGCCGTATAGACTTTACTTTGATTAAACTTTGAATATAACAATTAAGAAAATTATCCGTTCACAGTTTGGTTTTTAAAAGTCATTAAAACTTTTCTTAATTGTTATATTTCAATTCTAATGAAACTAATCAAATTACGTACTATCAACATCAAAAAACATATCTTAAACCATAAGAGTAGTTCTTGATTGGTTTGAGCTTGACTTCAAAGGTCAAAAGTACATGGAGGTCTCAGGTTTAAAACCAAAGAGGAATAAAAATTCTCTTGTGACCACAAATGTACAAATGCAGTGACTCCGGACTATCTGCAAAGTAGATGATCGTCATAAAATTAATCGACTCGTATAACGAATTGGATATCTAGGTTAATAAAAAAACCATATCCTGTATTCCCATTCATGTTATTGGTACCACTAAAGTCCATGACCAACTCCTCCATTTTTATGATTTTACATCTTAAAATTGATTAAAGAATAAAGATTATATACTAAAAAAAAGGGTTGTACCGTGTTATGGTATATAGGTGACGGAAGTTAGAATTAATTTCTGTCAACCACCAAAGCCCTAAAAACCCTCGCAGTGCAGTGAGAGGAAAAACTGCCAATGGATTGCAATGGCACAGGATGTCAAACCGGTTGCTATAAGGACAGCAACGGGGATGGAGAGACGGAGAACAAGTCAATCAGTGTTGATAGCAGCCATGATAAGCACCAACGCCACCAGAAGATGTGTCTCAAGTGTAAAGGAACCGAAGCCACAATCTTCACTGGCGGAGATGGTGGTGGCAGATTCTGTGCCGATTGCTTCCGCAGTAACCTTTACGGAAAGTTTAAGCTTGCTGTCACTTCTAATGCCATGATTTCGCCGACTGATAAAGTTCTTGTGGCCTTCTCCGGCGGCCCTTCATCCAGGTTATCTTTTCTATCGCCACTTGTGCAATATTTTGGATGTCTTGAAACAAATTTATTGATAAATATTCTATATGTTGTTTTTTTTATGGCAAACTTCTACTGTTTTGATCTGTTTAAACTATATATGTTCCTCGCCCCCCTTAAATTTGATCCGTAGATAACAGCGATAGCGTGCAATTAGTGTGTCGGAACTATTGATATAATTTTGGGGACTTGGTATTGGTTTTAAGAAACAAACTAAACAAACATGGTAGGTACCTATGATCTTTGGCATGAAAAGATTTAGCTACTTCCTATAGCTAAGATTAAAATACATTGTAGGGCAATAATTATGTTAACATGTATTAATTTGGCACATTTAGAACAACAAATTAGGATGTAGGAGCAATGGAGTTTAGTAATGTGTGTGTTTTTGAATCATATTAGATGAAACTTTTTGTGTTCGAGGATGCAGGATTCTGTAGAAAATTTTGACTGATTGTAACTCAAAGGAATTAAAAGTTCCATGCATAAACTACTCCATAAATTGAGAAGGAAAAGTTGTATCCTTTATTTGCTTAATATGGTTCTTCTACACATAAACTACTCCAATAACTTGAGATGAAAACGGTTATGTTCTTTATTTGCTTATTATTGAGATTACCTTCTTGTACATGGGGTTTAGGATACAAGGGGGAACTACCAACAAAGTTGAATCAGAATCTACACCAATATCCTTTATTTGGATCTTCAGTCTTTAAATTCTTCATAGTGATATATTGACTGGATATATTAATAGCATCTTAACTGATCTCGAAAAACTAAGTAGAATAGTTGAAACTTGCTATTTAGCAGGTACAAGACTTCCTATAGCTGGTATTTTGTGGTAATGGCCAACTTGTGCATTATCCATGCCAGATTCACCTCTTTTAGGGTCACTGCATGTATTTTTCAATCTGTCATTCAGTTGTTGTTGTCCTTTTGAATTAGCAATGGTTTAAGTGTTGGAGATAGTGTCATATACGCTGGTAATTGTTTTAAACTGGCTTTAGCAACCCTACCCTGTTTTTTAATAAGGGGTAATAGGTAAGGAGGTAACCATATAATTATTGTATGATTGGTTATAATTATATTGAAGAACTTGTACAATCATATGGAATGATGGAATGATTTACTTACATTTTGTCTAGTCAAAACATGGTATCATGATAAGGAACAATAACAGAAAAATAACCATTACACCTTGTGTTACTTGAAATCTTGAATACATAGAGTTAAGGATTAGTATAGGTTGGGGGAAGGGGGGGTAAGATGTACATTGTACCCAGACCATTCCTCTACCTCAGGAGGTAGAGAGACTGTTTATGAGAAAATCTCCGGCTCGGGTGCAGCCCATATGACATGACGTGGGTGCTCATGTTGAGATATGGCTCTCTCTCTTTTTTCTTCCTGAAGTGTTTTCCTCACCTTTTATAGAAATATTGTTTGAAAAACAAATTATTCAAACTTAGGCTCTTGAAAATCTTGGGTATTGGCGATGCATCATTTCTTTCCATTTTCTTATTCATCTTAAATTGTCTCATCTACTTGTTTGTGTTGCCTTTCTCCTCTACTTGTTTCTACTACACCCCCTCTTTTTCTGTTTTTTATGTAGTTTAGTTTTTCTTAGTACCTTTGGGCTTGTTGGTTTTATCTGAAGGATGTGATATTAAAATATAGTTTAATCCTGAGGTACTTTGATAGATTACTTGGTTATGAGGTTAGATATGCCGATGATGTCTACTGCTAAGTTATTTTGTCTATATTTATATATTTATATGAATATACATATGTGTGCTGCAGATTTTAGTATTTCTGTAACTGCTAGAACCCTGCACTTGTTAGGTATCAGACTTGCTCTGCAGTTCCTAGTTCATGACTAATTTGTTTCTCATGAACAGCTGTAGTGACTTGTCACAGGCCAACTCTTTGGACCAAGTGTTGCTTGACACTTTTAAAGATCTCAATGTGTAACCTTAAGAAACAACTGGTGCACCATTTTTAGCACCATTGTTTATTTCTCATGCTACCTTATCGAACAGAAGTATAGATGACACAATTGACATTGGAGACTTGCTATGAGCCATGACTTCCTTTGACTGTTAACTCTTAGCAGTTAGCAGCATCCTTCATTAAATGCTTAAGACTTGATATGAACCAAACCCCTCTCAACGGATTACACTTGCAAATATCCTTTATTATATATACTTGCATTTCAGTTCCGAACACAATACTAAAGTTATTATCATATACTGGTCATCAACTTGATAAAAGGAATAACCTCTTTCCTTGCTGGCTTATGGACATGATTAGACCAACAGTAGACTTCATAGTGTGAAAGCCTTGTGTATGAATGGTATGTAATATATAGATAGCTGTAGAGACGTAAACATCTCATTTTTGTTCTTGAGAAACACAATTGCTTTGCAGGGTGGCTCTTCAGTTTGTTTCGGAGATGCAACTCAAAGCCCAGAAAAATTTCGATGCAACTGCAGATAGAGATAGGTCTTTACCAGTGTTTGGTGTTGGAGTTGCTTTCATTGATGAGAGTGAAATTCATCCTTCCACTGCTGCTGATTTGGACAAAGCAGTTGAAGACATGAAAGAGATTGTGTTGAATTTAGCTCCACCAAGAAAAGAGTTGCACGTGGTGCCTATCAGAAGCATCTGTTCAGAAAAAACCAGTGATGGAAGAGAAACATTGGAGAATTTAGTAAATGCTGTTGGTGATGCCACTGGAAAAGAAGATCTTCTGGCACATCTACGTATGCTGTCCTTGCAAAAGGTTTGATGCTTAAGATTTTCTCTTTTTTGAAGTATATAATATTAAACTCGCACACACTCATCACCTTTGGTAATGTTGAACCATTAACCTCTGGGGAGGTCGGGATCTACCGGCAACCTGGGTGCATCATTGAGACATTGACTCTTTAGCAAAATAATGGTCTCTTTATTGACAAAGGGGTGCATAACATTTATATTTGGCTTTGTATCTACCATGCAGATTGCTATTGAAAATGGATACACCAAACTTGTATTAGGCTCTTGCACATCAAGGATAGCTTGCCATGTACTTGCGGCAACAGTTAAGGTTTGGCTCTTCTTGGTCACTGTTCACAATTTAATTAATGCAGGTTCTAATTTCATTGAGCAAATAGAAAATAAGATTAATTCTTTTCATCTCTCTCTCTATGTGTATATGGCTTATCTGAACTAGCAGGAAACTACTTTGCTGTGCACTATTCGTATGTACTTTTCCCATGCATTTGGCATGTCATGTAAATCCCCCTTCAATCATTTTTTCTTCAACTTAAGCTGTGTTATGGTAAACCCCAAGTGATTTAGCAAGTGAAATCGATGGAATAAAAAAGGACCCATGGGACATTCCTTGTGATATATCTTCCCTGATCATTCATCACCAATCTTAGTACACACACATGGCCCCCAGCCATATGATGTTGTTTGATATAAAGACAGTTTAGAAGTTCTTATTCTAATACAAACAAGTGTTGATCGATTTCATGCCGTGCAAAGTTGAAGGCATAAAGAACTTATCTGGATTTTGTAATAAAGCATTGTTGTTTGAATGAAACAAAGTCTCTTACTAGCACTAACGTATTACATGTTTACTTGGTAATGCAATGAAGGTGTTGTCTAGAATTGCCATACTAACTTAATTTATTCCATTCTATCCCTAATTTTCCGGTTGTTGATGTTTGAGATTATTGCAATTATAGTATTTATAGTTAGTAACCTCTTTGTTGCTTAAAGCTTATCAACAAATTGAAAGAAAAGCAATAGAAAACTAGAAACATGTGAAGAAGTGTTAACCGGTAAGAGATACTAAAGGTCGTGAGCTGTTATTGCATTTTCTCTTTACCAGGGCCAAGGGTACTCGTTAGCAGCAGATATACAATATGCTGATGCAAGGTGGGAAATCCCGGTAGTACTTCCCCTACGTGATTGTCTCATGCAAGAGCTCAACATACTTTGCAGTCTTGATAGGTTTGTACACGTTTCATACCCCAAACCCCCAACTATGTGAAGAAGTGAATTTTGTTATTCGGTAAAACAATTTCTAGTTTTCTACTATCATAGGGTTTCCAAGGCCTATTGGCCTGCAAAAGTTTGCACAGTTATAAACTCTTACTTCTTAAATAGCTACACTCCACCCCCTGCAATTTGCACATCTTCCGATCCTCAGTTTTCCTGAATATACATCTATGCTGAAGTTTGTGTGGCACCATATTATTGAGAAGGCTTTACCTCATAATTGGACTAATTATGCATTAAGACACTGCAGTTTGAAGATCGTGGAGGTATTCAACGATTCTCGTGCCAACATCAATGGTCTTGTCTCATCATTTGTGAAACTCTTGCAGGTAAAGAGCAATTTAACGTGCATTGTATTATTTCACATGAAATGCTAATGATGCACTAGGAAGAGTTAGTGTTGCATTCTGAGAGAAGATTAACTTGAAGTGACAAGGTTTCTCCCTGAGTTTATCTCAGCAATTTTCATTCCATCCACTTCTATGGAATGTGGATTTGCAGATAATTTTGTTGCAGACCATAAAATGTTGCAACACCTGCTGTTTGCTGGTCATGCAAACCTGATTATTTGTAGAATTAATGCTATGCTCTGATGAGAAATTAAAACTGTTTTACTTTTCAGATAAACAAATCACAGTGCAATTATGCTGGAAATGGATGTCACCTGAAAACAATTTAATTGTCATTGCAACCTGGTAGATGTTTAGTCATTAGTGTTGAGTTAATCCACAAACTCCTCATGTTCACTTTTTCCATTTCAGGAAGAAAATCCTTCTCGAGAGTGCACAATTGTACGGACTGCTGGGAAGCTTACTCCCTTTCCGTTTAATAGGATTCCTGAAGTGGATGCAGATGATGTTCTTTTGGCATCTCAACGTCGGCAAAAGAAGTTCAATTTAAGGCCTATTGAATCCCTTCCCCCAGAGTCATTCTGTCCAATTTGCAACAGCCCAATGAACGACTTACAAAACTCAAGTTGTTATAGTAATCCCCAACCGAATCCCGAACTTTTTAGAGCTGCATGCTGCTCTTGTTGCCAATATCAAGTACTTCCCGAGGAACCATCATCCATGGACCAGTTCTATTCGTTCTTACCAAAATCTATCATTACCCGAGCAAAGGATGGGAACCAAAAATGGATAAGGTGAGACCCATTTAGAACTTGATGCTTATTTCTTCATATGACTTTGATGTATGATATGAACCTACAAAAATTGTGGGTAATGTTGGACATCAGAACAATGGTAAAGATATCAACCTTACCATTTGATGACATGCCATGATAATGTGGGCATATTCAAAGGATAAACAAAATAGAAAATGGGAGCAGCTATTATGCCATATCATCATGCCACGTCATCAAGTGGTAAGTTTGATATCGTATCTAGTCGGCCCCATATGCTTATCTATGAAACCAAGGATTCTATCTGAAGAGAGCGTAAAGGGTTGTTTGGTTGGTTTCCTATCAAGTCCTGTATGGATAAACTTGTGCATGGATAAAGCTTTCTGTGTAGATTAATCTTTTTTTTTATTAACATGGATATCCAACCCACTATGTGATCCGACTAATCCCAGGGCAACCACCTGCTTTGCGGGTAGCCCGGAGTCACCGGATTTGAACCTCCATGGCCACAAGGAGATTTTTAATCCTCCTTGGATTTGAACCTGGGACCTCTAGGCACTTGAGCCCAAGCTCAAACCAATCAGGTATCACCCTTGTGGTTGTAGATTAATCTTTCTGTATAGATTGAGAATAATTTTGTTTGGGAGGTTTTTTTATAGATGGAATGGAAGTAGCATGTTTCTTAATTGGGAGAGGCGGGTTGGCTTTCTGCATAAAGCTCCCCCTAGAATCTTATAGAATAAGCTACTTTCTATATCATTAAGCCACTCCTGAATAGTTTATGTATAACTAACCGAATAAGCTATGAGTTCCATTAAGCTGCTAACAAACAGGCCCTAAGTACGAGTTTTATGTGTCGATTCAATTTTGATACAAATGTTTTAAAATGTGTTTTTAATAGATGTTTGTGGTAAAATTACAAGAAATGGTCAACAATGTTTTACAGGGAAAGGATACAAGATTGCCTGCTTTTAGACGATGAAGATGAAGTTTGAGGCTTCTGTGAGTGATATCCGTTCTTGAAAATTGCATCATCGATCTGCAGGTGGTAAGTTTGTTGGTTATAGCAAAATAATTGAATATTTTGTCTTTCATAATTATATCATCCCTCTTTAGAAAAAAACAAAACTAACAAAAGTCTAACGTAATTTTGGTCGCATCGATAAATTTAAATTTGTTAAATTTGTCTGGTTTTTGTTGTTATGGAATATGCATTGTTTTTGTTTTTTAGCTTCCTGAGAAAGGGTTTTTTGGATGTTTTTTATGTTGTCTTGGAGTGAAACATGTGATGCATCCAAATAATCATTCAGATTGATAACTAAATCACATATGATCCTACAAACTTTAGGTTTTAACATCTTCTGTATGGTCTTTACCATTTGTTAATACAACTATCAAACAATAAGGTATATGGATCCTCTTATAACGGCATCCAGTTATTCATATTCAAATCTACCTTTAACGAGGATACAGACACCTTCAAAGCATAAACACTTTTTGTTGACGGGAATGTCATGCTAGTCGTTGGTTTATCGGTTCATCGATCGGCCATCCTATTTCTTAAATTAGTGTTCTTTACGTCAAACAGACCAAAAATGATGAAAATGCTCGTATATGAAACTTGTTTGACAATCAAAAATACAAACATTAAAGTTTTAGGAATTTTTCTTTTTATTTTTTTAAAAATAAACTAAGGGACCCAAGGGGAGAACAATGTTGTTGGCGTTGTCGTAGAAGGTGGGGGCGAGGGGTATCGTTGGAGAGGGGCACCGGTGCGCAAGGGAAAGGAAAGTGGATGGTGGTGAGCCCATGAGAGGGACGGGCAATGGTGTTGGTTACTAAGAGCAAGTCAGTTAGGGGTTGATGGTTGCGAGTTGTTTGGAAAAAGGGGTTGTGTTGTTTTCCATTTGCGTTACGTAATTTATATCTTATAATATAATTAAAATCTAAACTACGTTTTCATGGTTTCGTAAAACTAGTTTTTGAAATTTGATATCGTTATTTATTTAACAAATTTTTAAAATTTAAAATGAAGCCAATGATTATTTTTGTCTAAATAGTATTAATGACACTAAAATAAAGATTTTTATTGCACTTTTAATTATTTAATTATTAATTATTAATTATTAATTATTAATAAATAATAAAAGAAAGTGTTGGGTTAATGGTAGAAGAGGTATCACAGCTGTGATTGATGGTTACAAGTCCAAGAGAATGGATTGGGTTTTAGTTACTGGACCCTGCCACCACCTTCTTCCCTTTTCCCTATTCCTAGATACATTTTTTTTTCTTGCTATACGAATATTTTTTAATTTTTTTTATCGATCGTGTTTGTATTAGTTAACTATATTACATTATTAGAAATTTGTTTCAATTATATTTTGAAGGGAAAATTATATCAAAATAGAACTAATTTTCACATGATTTCTATTTTGGGAATCAACTTTCAAAATCGTCATTTAAAGGTCTTTATCAAACTTTTTGTTTATTGAAGGGTCTGGTTAACATGCTGAACAGGTAACAAGTAATTTATTATGAAATGATAAATAATAATTTAAAAATATATTAGGTGGATATTAATTTGCCAAATCATGATTATTATTAAAAGAAAGATTAACAAATCAAAATATGTGGATTTTTTTTTGAATTTCTTTTTCTCAATTTCAATTGATTTTTGAATTTTTTTTTTATTTAAGAAACGAGATTTGGAATGAAAAATAGATTTTAGTGCATTATTTTTTGAAAAAAAAAACAAATTTTAGTTAATTTTCTATAATTATTTTGCAATTTTAAAATATGGCATGAAATATTAGTTTTAAAATAATAAATTAATATGACGTGTAATATTTTAGTTGGCAAAAGATCTGGATGATTTCAGAATTAACAGTTTAACCAGACCGTTAAATAAACAAAAAGTTTGATAGAGACCCTTAAATGATGATTTTGAAAGTTGGTTTCCAAAATAGGAATCAGATGAAAGTTGGTTCCATTTTGATGCAATTTTCTCTATTTTGAAATATTATAATTGAATAATTTTTCAAAATGTTTTTTTTTTTATCATTCTACATTCTTATCAACTACTTTTGTCAAACATAATTTATTCATCAGTTAGCTTATCAACTAGTTTGAGAAACATAGCATCAAAATATACAAGTATATGCTCTAGGTTATTAATGAGGATTTAAAGAGTACTAAATCAAAAATTAAATTTAAAAATATTTTTTGCTTGCACTTCAGTCACATGTTTGTACTAGAGAAAAAATGGTAGCAAACCTTCGGGACATGTTACAAGCGTCCTTGTAGGCCTAACGAATGTTTGGAATATCATTGTAACAAGTATAACATTAAATATATCTTACCGCTAAAAAAACTACCTTTTACAACAAGCCATGAGCGCTTCTGTTAGAGCCAGTGCCTACCGCTGTGACATCAAATACCATGAGCCAGTGTCTATCTTTGAGACATTTGATACCATAAACCAAGGTCTACCCGTGGGACATCTGTGTTTGTATGGCCTATGTTGCAGAAAACATGGTAGAGTCTTAAATCAACTAGACTCAGACATGTCATCTTCGATATATATTGGAAGCTATCAAATTTCAAAATTTATGAAAGTTTTGGCATTAAAATTACTTGAACCTGCAACCTTAGTATTACTGTTAGAGTAAAACCTGAATTGAATGAATGTATATGACTGGATGAAGGAAGTCAAATTAATGGAGAAGAGAATCAGTTAGATCAAGAACAATTAAAAGAATGTACGTAACTGAATGGAATTGAGTTAATGGAGAGCATAACCGAGAAGATCGAGAACAGCGGGAAGAGGAAGACAAAAAAAAAAAAATGTCAACCGGGAATGTCAACTTGTTCATGTCTATGTGAAAGATTTTGCTTCATTATAATTTGCGTTTGGGGAGTTCAATCAACAATCATTTGTGTCTCTGTGAATCGCTGAATCAAGAAGAAAACACGAAGATGTGTAAAGAGTGGTTAGATTTGGTTCTCATTTTTTATCCCCACTGTATTTTGTAACTATGGTGGACAAATTTGTACCAAACTAACCAATATGTATACCAACCACACCAATTAAGTCAGTACTGATTAATTGGTATCAATTACAGTTGGTTGGTGTACGGTATTAGAAGTCATGTACCATGGTAGTATCATGACAACGACTTATTTAATTAGTTATAAGTTTTTTTTGTATTACATTTTAACATATTACTTTTAACTATTTTTTTTAAACATTAAATGTTTGCAAGTTTTATTCTTTGTATTAAAACCCGTAGACGTCACACGTGTTACATGAAAACTCAAAATGTCACTCAAAAATTTAAACAAAATGACAAAATTTTCATATATATAACTTGAAGTTGGTAAAAAACACTAGTACCAACCGCAAAATATTGGTACCAGTTAAATTGGTATCAAGTACAGTTGATTGATATACAATATAATATTTTACATACTGATTATAATTGATTGACGTAAGATATTACAGAAAAAAAAACTTGGTATTATATCAAGTCCACCCCTATTTTTAACTATAAATTGGGTTAAATCTATATACAAAATGGGCCCCAAAAAATTTGAGGGGCATGTTCCACATCACCTTTTTAACTTGCTCATGCTCGATACTTATCCATATATTTTGCTGATATCTTTGGTTTTTGTTAAATAGTTAAATAACAATATCTTAACAAATATTATTTGACTGAAATAATCTTAATATATTACGTATGTAACCATTAAATATTAATGGATATAAGTGAAATACCAGAGTAAAACATATATAATTTATAGTTTTATGTATACTAATTAATAATGCAAGTAAATCAAATGGGTTGGATCATGGGATGTTTTGAAACCATACTAAGATGCCAATTACAAAGTCGGTCATGAAACCACACATAAAAGACTTAAATTTTAGTTATAAACGATACAACAAAGAGGTGGTTACCACATTAATGCCTTCAAAAACTTTCATATGTTTGTGGATATCATTTATTACTATCAATATCTACTTTTTTTTCTTTTTTTTTTCCTTTCAAACTTACATTTTCATCTTACACATCCGTTTATTGTACTCCACTGGTTATATTTCAATTAGATCACATGAAATTTAATATTAAAAGTTAAAAAAAGATGTATGTACAACTTTGGATGTGTCTTCAGGTCGCGGGGTAAAGTCGCGTGAACGTGAATCACATATGATTCGACAGTTTTCATATTCTCTTAAATATGTATCGTTCTCGTTTGAATTGACAGACACACACACATTCTCTCTCTCTCTCTCTCTCTCTCTATATATATATATATATATATATACACACACACACACACACACATACATGCCAATGCTATTTTACAAATGAGTGAAATCTAACAAACCGTTTGTTTCATTGTTTAATTGAATAAAATTGTTTCATGAAAGTGTTTAATATGATGAAATTGTTTCATATATATTTGTTTCAATGTGAAAATGAAATTGATTCATGTATTTCACATTTTGATGAAACTTGTGTCATATATTCTTGACGAATCAACCCTCATACTTAAGAAAAAATAAAAAAAATGATTGGTTAAATGAAGTTTGTACGGTTTACATGGTTTATAAAATAAACCACCCCTATAACATATAACTTAAACATTCAATAACCCGATATAACCAGTCTAACATTAAAATAAATAATAATGTTAACTAGAAAAACTATTAAGAATTAATAATCTACCGATTGTATTCTATATTAAGAATTATTCAACAATTCATCATTACCAACAAGCTCTCGGATAATTCATCGACTAATTCCGTGTAGAACCAATTGATATCATAATACGATAACTTTTTATATAACCGATTCAACTCAACGTCAACCGTAATATTAAAACATAAAATACAACAACAAATACATGTTTTTTTTTTTTTAATTTTGAAAAACCAAAACTTATTTCGGACCACACAAATACATTTGGAAGGGAAAAGAAAAAGAAAAGAAAAGAAAAGAAAGGGAAATAAAACGAAAAGGCGGCATGGGCGGTGCCACAGTCATCGGATCTTTGCTTCAAATTCAACTTTTCTTTCCTTCCTAAGTATATACGCCCTTTCAATCGCCATTTCTGTATTCATACCCAAGAACACCAAGCTTTTCTTCATCTCTCATAAAGTTGGAGAGAGAAAACCCCACCTCAAAAGCAAAGAAAAAAAAAAAGAAAGGAAATTCAGAAAACAACCCATAAAACCAATTATTAACTTTCTTTTTAGTACTCTTTCTTCTTTCTCTCTCTATAATATACTTTGCCAGCTCCGTTTTGGTCTTCCTGTCCTTCTGCCGTTTCTTCTCTCTAAAACCCACTTCATCATACTCTTTTTGAAGCCAGAAGCAATCGAGATCTGAACCCAGGTATGTTTCTTTTAATCGATTACTTAATCAACTGGTTTTGCATCTGATGTTCACTTCATTAGTTTAGATCTCTTATTCTTTTGATTTAATTCGCCTTTCGACTTATTTTTGTTCTAGTTTGGATCTTAATTTGATGATCTGCTACTTGAATTGACAGTTTGTGTATTCTTTAACGATCTTTTTAGCATCAATTTGTAGTTGGGAATGGGTGAATGATTTCTTTCTACTTATTTCATGTGTTGGTTGTTTTGATCTAATGAGTTTTCCTTCGCTTGATATCGGGGCTTAATATTTTCTTATTGTTGCTTAATATAATTGGTTGGATCTATCGATGTGTGCTAGAGAAAGAGGATTTTATCATCTTATCCACGCATGTTTTTGGGTGCATTACTTCCGGTAAGGTATGCTGTATGGATTTGATGATGCTGTGGACTCGGCCCTTGATTTTTGGAGGATGTGTTTTGGAATAGAAAGTTATGAAATCAGGGCAAAATTGTTGGGTGAAAGTCAGCGGGGTTGATATATGCTATATGGAAACAGATTGTGTTGTCAAATACACTGTATTCGGTCCCTATCAAATGCCGAATGGGATATCAAGTGCGAGATAGTAGTTGACCATTTTTTGGGATAATTAACTGATTCTATTGATTGAAATGTACTATTAAACTTGCCCAATATCAAGTGGAAGGAATCGTGTGAAGGGTTCGACAAATTCCAAATATGTTGGACCATTCTGATAAAAGAATGTGATGGTAGCTTGCTTATGTGTTAGCTTGTAGGCGATGCTGCTTGAAAATTGCACTGTTAAGTTAATCTTGTTGGAGCATTCTGATAAATAAGCTGGTTTGTTTTTGTTGATGAGATAAATAACTTTGATCGTTGAAATGTATTTTAAGATAATTGTGGGCAAATGCTTGGTTAACAGGCAGTGTTTCAAAAATATCTGCCTGGGGCTGCTTAAGCGGCTGTCTAATTATTAAGCACTCCCTTGCCGTTCTGGATAGTTATAGCTTCTTGATCGGCCGCATAGGATGCATCACTTACCGCTATGATTAACAAGTAATTGTTTAAAAAATTAGTAGGGATAATTAACTCCTCTCAACTTGTGTTCATCAATCAACTTTCTCAGCTTAGAGGGAATCTTTCTGTTTCTTTGTAAGTAATTGGGTCAATTGGACAACAAGGACAGTTGTTTTGAAAGCTTATTGTATCAAAACAATATAGTTTAATCTTTTTTGTTCTTATATGTAATATGTCTACATAATGTAAAAAGAATTATGTTAATATGAATCGATTAAGCATCCTCTTAGTCCTCACGTATGCGATCAAGTGCTAGAAGGTCATTTGATCCCTGAACTTCGTCTAATGCTTTTTAGAACACCAACTGGGGAGAAGCATGTCTTATATACTATGAGCTTTCTTTTACTCCTCATTAGTTGATTTGCTTAAGAGATCTGTTAACTCTTAACTTCCATCATACAAGATGGACTTACTATCTATGTTCTTGGTGTTTAGTTTAGGAGTTACGTCTATAGGTAGAAAATTCTAAATTATTAACCCTAATTATACATGAAAGGGAAATGATAATGTGCCATAATCTCTTGATCTTTGGATTTTGGTGATATAAAATTTGAACTAAAAAATAGTGGTCAAGTTGTATAAAATATATATGCATGAAAAAGGCAATTAAGAAGGATTCTTTTTTCCTTACTATTGGTTAGGGGGTTAGAAACAAATTTATCCCTTGATTATTGTTCTATTGGAATTTGGATATTCTATTAAATTATTTTGATAAAACCTTATACATTTTTGAAACCAAACAAATTCTGTTTAAAGTGAAAATATTTCCGCATCATGTTTATCCAAATTTTGTTTTAGTTCTCACGTGCCATATCTATCTTTTTTTCTAAGACATTTTTTATATTTGATCGGTAATCAAATGTTTTACGAGAGTATGTGCGAAATTAAACACTGCATTTTTTCGGCGAACGGAGAATGTAATACATTTTTTTCCGTACTATTTTACCAAAGTAGATAGTGATTGCGTCATTTGTCCACATTATACAAGTAACAAGTGTAAACATATAATTATTGGAAAATGGTAGAATAACCATCAAATCACATAAATTGTAGGATCTGGGTAATGAGTACTGGTTTTGGTGTTCTAACCCATCAACCTATTGATAGATAGTAGGTTCATGAAGTTTGTTTGGCCACATATGGCTTAAGTGAGTAAAGATGGCATATTTGTTGTTCATAGCTTTAAGGCGAGGTGGATGTATCAAGTCTTACATCTCCTAATAAGGGAAGCAACAACTTGGAGAGGAGTTTATCAACCTGATAACTAATATGCCTTGAGGTACTTTAGTGCCCTTCTCTTTGAAAAATGATCTAACTAGCTAACCACAAACACTCTTAAGTTGTAAACTAACACAATGTTAATAAAGTGTCAAACAAACACACTTAAATCATAAACCTAGGATTTGATCACGGGTTACTTGGCTATGAGTCTAAGGATGTGCATTTGCATGTTATTTATCCGTATATAATCCGGCTTAATAACGAGAACTGATATGGGAGGAATTCTGTATGATTTTTTTTGAGACTTAGATGCAAGTGAGAAATGATTATACTGTTTTGAACTTGAACAGCTTGAAAGATGTCAAGGGCATGTGTAAGCAAGCGAAACACACTCTATGAAACGCTTTCAGCTGCTCCCTCATTTGAACTACTTAACTTATAACTGCTGAAAGATAGTAATCATCTTACTCCTCACTGCTATAGAACTTCTCCAAGAAAAACTTCATGGGAAGATCTTTAGAATTTATGTAACATGAGAAGTCTTCCACCCTGAACTCTATAGTTTCTTGTAAACTCAGCTCAAATTTGAATCTTTATCTCAAACAATTGGTTCGGGACAAAGGTAGGAAATCATGGATCAAGAGAGAGTGAGGGAGGATTCTATGTATTCACCTAATTTCCAAAGTTATGATTCCTATCGAGGTGCATGATTGAGCAAGTCAGGCTCTCATGCCGCTGAAGCATAAGCATTTGAACACTTCTATCAGGTCAAGGAATGATGCTGAAAATTGTCTAGCTTAGTTACAACAAAATTGCCCTTTGTTTCTAATTTTATGAATACATTATTAGATGATAAGTGGAGACTTGGTTTAGCAAACATTTACTTTGATTTATGCTGTGCATGCATGCGGTAAATGTAAATGGAATTTATTTGACATTGATCATTACCTGGTTAAATAAGTCTGGATTTGGGACATCTGCTGTTGCTCAATACTTATAGTGCGTTTTATCATGTGTGAAAATGTAGTTTTTGCATTTTGCCTTTATCTCTTCCTGGTTTGGTCATTCGTTATATGGAAGGCATAAATTTTAAAGTTCTGCTAAGCCCAACATTGGGAAAATCTGAGTTGTTTTGCCTTCATTTTTCTAGTTTTTAATGCTTTTGCTACTACCTTTGAACTTTGCAGTGACTTATCAATAGAGATTGCATTGTGGGATACTGTTCTTGTTTAAACAGTAAACAAGCTAGGACTTTGCACCATGTCTGGCTCGGCAAAAGCTCTGGAACCGGCATTCCAAGGAGTGGGTCAGAGGGTGTATCCTTGCTGAATTTATTATCTGTACAATGTAGAAAGCTGTTTGTAGCTTGATATTATTAGTTTATTTGCATTGCCTATGGGAAGAATTTGTCATTATCTGTATGTAAGGTTCAGTTGCATTTGTTGTATTAAACTTTCACTTAACACCATGTAGAGGGACTGAAATATGGAGAATTGAGAACTTTCAGCCAGTACCTTTGCCGAAATCTAGTTATGGTAGATTTTACTCTGGTGATTCATACATTGTATTGCAGGTGCTAATGACATTCAACACTGTTCTTGCTTGCCCTGCATTTCCGTCTCAGTGAAGTAGTTTTTTACGAGTTTGTGTATTTGCAGACTACTTCTGGTAAGGGAGGTGCATATTTGTACGACATTCATTTCTGGTTGGGAAAAGATACCAGCCAGGTACAACCTGCTCTTTATCAGTTTATGATGTTTCTTCATCGTGTTTATTGTATATTATAGTTGCTTAAATGGACTTACTTTATGCATAAATCAGGATGAAGCTGGGACAGCAGCAATAAAAACCGTTGAGCTTGATGCAATTCTTGGTGGCCGTGCAGTGCAGCATAGGGAGCCTCAAGGTTATGAATCTGATAAATTTTTATCCTACTTTAAACCATGTATTATACCACTAGAGGGAGGTGTTGTATCTGGGTTTAAGGAAACCGAGGAAGAAGAGTTTCAAACACGATTATACACATGCAAAGGAAAACGAGTTGTCAGATTAAAGCAGGTCTGCAATGTTACCCATATTTTTTGAATTTATCTGAGTTTAATTGTTAATCTACGTCCTACATATCTGTGAAAAATAAAAAGTTCTGTCCTTTATTCAGGTCCCTTTTTCTCGATCCACGCTGAATCATGATGATGTCTTTATCTTGGACACTAAAGATAAGATTTTTCAATTCAATGGGGCAAACTCGAATATACAAGAAAGGGCTAAAGCATTGGAAGTTATTCAGTTTTTAAAGGATAAATATCATGAGGGGACATGCGATGTTGCAATCGTTGGTAAGTCGTATGTTATATAGATTGAGTTTTAGCATTCCCTTCATCTCTATCTATTGGATGTTTCTAGAACTGATTCTCTTAGATAAAGCATACCAATCTGAATTTTTACATGATACTATAAACACTTATTACAAGTAAAGGAATGTTTTACTTTCACTTAAGAAATAGTTTAATAAATTCATTAATTCCATTCAACTTTGTTCATAAAGCAATGCATCATGCATGAAACTTTTGCGTTAATTTATGATAATGTAAACAAATTGAAAGAGAAGAAAGATATTGCTATATAATTTAAACTTTATTGATTAGTACAGAATCTGAATAAAACTTCTTTAAGTGAACATGAATATAGCCAACATAATTTGGTTATAGACAATACTCTTTATGGTTCCTACCATGATTTTTACTTCCATTATACTAAAATAAATATTAATTATGTTTGAGAGTCTACCCTTTGTACTTTTGCTTTATTTTTAAATCAACTTATATTATGCATCTTTTCATTTTCTATATGGTTAGATTATTTTTGTGTATGTTCATTGCCACTAATAAAATTGCATATTAGAAAGATCGATAGTTTATTTCCGTTGTAGATATCTATTTTGATGAGGGTATAAATGGAAAGACATGGTAAAAGATAATTCTGTAAAAGAGACTGGATATCTAATATATAATTGGCATAAAAAGGCTATATGAGATGTGGCATGCGATGGTGAGAGTATTTTGTGATGCTGTGGTTCAATCTAATTAGTTACTTTTGAGTACTTGGTTATGCCAAGTAATTTGCTTGTGCCAGAACTGTTGAGAATTACATCTAGTTTAGAATTGTGTGATCATATGATCCCCAAGTATCGTGCAAAGAATTTCACCAGCATTCATTTTCTTATATTTCTCTTCCCCTTTAGTTTGCATCCCTTTTTCTTCAGAACAAAATTTCTTAGCATACACTTTTTTCATCTGTAATATATCTTGAATTTGGGCTTTCAAGCTTGGTAGTGGAAATTTTACTTTTACTTGAAACCAGAATTAGTAAAATGCCAAAAATGGAAATTTTACCTTTTACATGGTATTATGATGGGTATGATGATATTAGGTCCAGAAAGTAATGATGATGCTGGATTCAAAAATGCTTCTGACATATGAGAAATGCACATGCCATACATCCAGAATTACTTTTGGATATCATCCGAAGGATATTTTAAAGATTAATTTTGAACCACGGGCAAATAGAATTTCTATTGCTACAACAAAAGCCTTTGACCCCAGTTCATTGGGTTCCTGGAAATGGTGTATGCTGTTGGTATGAATGGAGAGTGTACAAATACAGGAGAGTTGAACTGGTTGGGGTTTACTTGCTAAATGATATATATCTTCTATAACTCACAGCCGTAGGGATAAATATGGAAATGGAGTATATACAATCAGCTTAAACTCAGTGATCTCTTGCATGTTATTTAGTCGATGTTTACTATTCTTAAAATCACAGAGAACCACAAATCTGTAGCATGATTAGATTCTCTGCAAGCTTTTTACAAGATGAATAGATTCTCAGCAAGCTTTTGACGACATGATTAAATTCTTCGAACACTTAGTTTCTGGTTTCTAATCCGTTGTTTTTATCCCCTTCTGTAACATATTTCAGATGATGGAAAGCTACAAGCGGAGGGTGACTCTGGTGAATTCTGGGTCATTTTTGGTGGGTTTGCTCCCATTGGCAAGAAGGTTGCAAGTGAAGACGATATAATTCCAGAAAAGACTCCTCCAAAGCTTTATTGGTATAGTTCATCTTATGATTTTTCTGTGATGTTTATGCGTGTGGACCAACTATATAAAAACACATAATCTTCATGCACTATGCTGTGTTTGCTACTATTGCTTAGTGGATTTAATGGTATACACTCAAGTCTCTCATGTTAAGTAAGGACTTCTTTTTGATTGGGGAAATGTCTTAACTAAGTATTTTATGACTTCAAGGTTTTCCTCTGGTCGCGAAGGGGTGCCATTTGGACCAAAGGCCACCTGGTTAAATTAAGTTGAAGCTTTTACATAAATCTGCAATGAAATGCAATGGTCTTGGGGGTATTTGTGTTAGGAGATTAAAAGATTGATATTATTTGCTATTGCTGGCATTAGTGCTCCATTCTATACATTAATCTCCTTTTTTTGCAGCATTTCTGAAGGTCAGGTGAAGGATGTAGAAGGTGAACTTTCAAAATCGCTTTTGGAGAACAGCAAATGTTATCTATTGGACTGTGGTGCAGAGGTGTTTGTTTGGGTTAGCAGAGTAACACAAGTAGAGGAAAGAAAAGCTGCCATGCAAACTGCTGAGGTAGGCCTTGGATATTAGCTTTCTCTTGTGTGTCAGTTGCTTATTCTCACCTGAAAAAATTGGTAGGAGTTCATCATCAGCCAGAACCGGGCCAAGTCAACTCGTGTAACTCGACTTATTCAAGGTTACGAGACTTATTCATTTAAGTCCAACTTTGAGTCCTGGCCATCAGGTTCAGCACCTTCTGCTCCTGAGGAGGGTAGAGGAAAAGTTGCAGGTAAATCTATCATTAACGTGGAATGCTTCTGGAAGATTTTCATAGCAGGCTATCAATTATCATCCTATTTTTTATATTACTAGCTCTGCTGAAGCAACAAGGCGTTGGCCTTAAAGGGCTGGCAAAGAGCTCTACTGCAACTGAGGAAGTCCCACCTTTGCTTGAAGAAAATGGAAAAATCGAGGTTTGATCACAAACACATTGCTGCAGTGTTTTGGTGTCAAACATTATCTGTTGCTCGTTTTCTTGTTTGCTATAGAAGCGTTGATGTTTTTGCTTTTTAGGTGTGGCGGATTAATGGCAGTGCTAAGACACCAGTATCTAAGGAGGACATTGGTAAATTTTACAGTGGAGATTGCTATATTGTCCTTTACACTTACCATTCTAGTGAAAAGAAAGAAGACTACTACCTGTGCTGTTGGATTGGCAAAGATAGCATCGAGGTACATAGAAACAAAATGAGTTATATATGTACAGAATATAAGTGTGCTTGTTTTTAGTACATGGGCGTACAGTATGAGTTCGCATTGATGGTTGATTTCATTTAAATTACTTGATGCAGTAAACCGTTCCACATTTTGTCTTATTATCTCCATTCATTTCCCTTGTTTTTTGATTACATGGCCAAATTCTGGTGTCATAGTGTGTATGCTTAAATGCATTTAATCAAACCATGTGGCGTCTTAAATCTCATCTATGTGTGGTGCTGTTTTTTGAACTTTGTTAACTAGATTCATTTTCCCGGCACCATTTCTTCTTGTAATCCTGTTAATCTTTTCATTATAGTTTTCTTGCTGCAATCTTGTTATTGTAGTTTTCTTGCTTCCCCTTCATTGCTTCTTGCCATAACTAGTCTGCTATTGTGTCTTTTTTATTACAAGTTTTTTTTGGCGGACTGTAGTGTATTTTGCCATTTGTATCTGGTTTGATGCTTCTACCAGGACATTAAAAAATCAGTGTTGGTGTTAATTATGATTTGCTTATGTGTTTTGATCCACATGTGTGATCTGTCATTTAGATAAAAGTGATCATATATTGATTCTTCAGGAGGATCAAAATATGGCTTCTCGGCTAGCTACAACAATGTTCAATTCACTGAAGGGAAGACCAGTCCAGGTAGTGTACCATGTTTATTTCTACTTGTTGCACTGATTATACAGAAATGTATTTTCAAAACCTACTATCCTTTTCCTGCAGGGTCGTATATATCAAGGGAAAGAGCCACCACAGTTTGTTGCCATCTTTCAGCCTATGGTTGTGTTGAAGGTACTTTCATCACATTTGTAGTTTTCAAAATTTTGCTGTGATATTAAATTCAAATGTATATACTCTTGTGGAATTTGATGCTAAACAATGGCAAATATTATGTTATTAGGGTGGATTGAGCTCTGGTTATAAAAACTACATTGCAGACAAAGGATTGAATGATGAAACCTACAGTTCAGATGGTGTGGCGCTCATTCAGATATCAGGAACTTCGGTGCATAATAATAAAGCCGTTCAAGTAGATGCGGTATGCTCATCCACATTTCAAGTTACTCTTTTTCAGTTACCTCTTTGCCAATAAATCAGAATTCGGCCGGATATCTGAGATTACGATGACCGGTTCATGTTTTATTAGAACCATGTTATGTGGGGACTTGATTTGCTAAATAACACTGCTGCCTTTTTAATTCTTGTCTATGGAAGTTGCTGGATGACTTTGGTTACATGAGCATCCACAAGAGTTGTTTTTCCCCTTCTGTGTTCTTTTTTTCAATTATCCAACTTCGATTTTTACCTCCCAAGAATTTCTAGCACCAGGATATTAACTTGCTGGATGATGATGTTAGTGCCTATGACATTTTTTAAGATTTAATGGAACCGAGGCTTATTATATGTGTAAATATGATCTCTTTCAGGTCGCAACCTCATTAAATACCTATGAATGCTTTCTTCTTCAATCTGGTTCATCATTGTTCACCTGGCATGGAAACCAGAGTACTGTTGAGCAGCACAACATAGCTGCAAAAATTGCTGAATTTCTGAAGGTATCCTTTAAATCTTCATAATTTTTGTGCTGCGAGTAGGCTTATTTTATTTTCCTTTTAAGCTTGATACTAATAAGTTTAAAGTGCCACTTCATTAGCATTTCTGAAGCATTTGACTTATAAGTTTACATTTTTTCTACAGCAATCCATTACAGTTAGATTGGTATGCTAAATCCTAAGTAATATTGTTCTTACTTTCACTTTGCTACCCTCTTGATCATGTGTGAGGATACATCTTAATAAATGGGTAATTGGAAAAATATCATTTGGGTTGGGTGTATGTATCTGGTTAATTTTGATAAAGATCTAAAAATGCTTTATTTGGAGTGCTCATATTTCGCTCCCCGAACAATGAATGAGATGATGGCATCCAGTTAGGGAAGGACCAAATAGAAGGCAAATGTAACTATCAAGTAATATAGAAGATAATTTTAGGTCTTCATATTATTGACTGTCCATATTTTTGTGGTTAATTTTAATGTCCCTTACTTTATCTTTCAGCCTGGCGCCAATGTGAAATTTGCTAAAGAAGGAACAGAGAACTCAACTTTCTGGTTTGCACTTGGAGGGAAACAAAGTTACACAAGCAAAAAACTAGCACAGGAAGCTGTCAGAGATCCCCATCTGTTTGCATTCTCATTCTCTAAAGGTGTCACGAACATAACCATTTAATTTACACTTGTTTTTCATAGTTTGGCTTCAGCATATGCTAAATAGAGGCCAGTTATTGCCTGATTATAACCTCTAATTAGTTCTTTGTTGTTATCTGTGCTCCTGCTTTGTGGATCTTCAGGAAAGTTTGAGGTGAGGCCCCGTGTTTTATATGCTCACAGAACAATGTTTCCAATGAACAGCTAAGTCATGTTTTTTTTTTTGCAACAGATTGAGGAAGTCTACAATTTTTCACAAGATGATCTGTTGACAGAGGATATCTTAATATTAGATACACATGCTGAGGTGTTTGTCTGGGTTGGTCAGTCGGTAGACTCCAAGGAAAAACAAAATGTTTTTGAAATTGGCCAGGTACTTGGTTTGTGCGGTTTTATTCTGCATTTGAAGAATGTTTTTTGTTATTTAATCTGTTTTTGATGAACTTAATTTCAGAAATACATAGAGTTGGCTGCATCTCTGGATGGGCTATCTCCATGTGTGCCCTTATACAGAGTGACAGAAGGAAACGAGCCTAGCTTCTTCACAACATTTTTCTCATGGGATACTGCAAAAGCTAATGTATGTGTTGTTCTTACTATTTCACTTGTAATATGGGTTTCTCTGATTGATTTGCAAGAAGTTGCATTCTTGACAAAAAACAATTTATAATCTGTGGTGTTATTTTTCATCATAAATGTTAAAATAGATGTAATGGATGAATATATTTTATCATGCTGGATTTAGAATAGTTATATAAATTGTTACAATGGGGCTTTATGATGTCTGTTTTATTTATATGACCATCCATATATCTTATTGTAATTGATATTAATATATATTGATTTGGATTTTACCCGTCTTTTCAATGCGATTAGGCTCAAGGAAACTCATTTCAAAAGAAGGTTATGCTACTGTTTGGGTTTGGGGGCAGCCATGCAGGAGAGGTAAATGAATTCTACAATTTAGCCTATCTTTCTTTTAGAGAATTTATTGGTTGTGGGATGTTTTAGTATCATTTTAATGTGATTACAGAGCCAAGATAAGTCCAACGGAAATCAGGGTGGGCCAACTCAAAGAGCTTCAGCCTTGGCAGCCTTGAACTCTGCTTTTAAATCATCACCAACTGCCAAATCTTCAGCTTCTCCAAAGGTACCGAGCCGGGGATCTCAGAGAGCAGCTGCAGTTGCTGCTTTATCTTCGGTTCTTACTGCCGAAAAGAAGGGATCATCTGACGCTTCTCCTGTCCGACCCAGTAGGAGTCCGCCATCTGAAGGTGGCTCACCTGGTACTCGTTCTACTATTACTTCTCTTATCATTTGTTTTCAATCTGTGAGCTCTCATTTTGCTAAATTGCTTCTAGTTGAATATTTTATATTTGGTTATGCGGCTTTTTTAAAGATTGAAAACCATGGTATCCAAGTTATGCAAATCAAATGGTAGATATCAGATGTTCTTAATGGTCCATGAGTCTTTGCAGCTATCGCGAAGAGTGAAGAACCTTCTGATGGTTTGGAGAGTAACGAAGGTTCGGAAGCTGGCACAGGGACATTTGAGGTAATTCAAGAGACCAATGGAGAAGATTCGGCACCAAAGTCAACAACAGATGAAAACGAATGTGTTAGTGTAGACAGTCAGAGCACTTTCAGTTATGAACAACTGAGGGCTAAATCCGAGAACCCAGTTACAGGAATTGACTTCAAGAGAAGAGAGGTTTGTTTTCCATATATTTCATAACAAATATATGTTGGGAGAGTAAGCAGAGAATAAATGGTTTGATTCTTGTAGCATAATGATAATAATGATGTGTGTTGTTTAGGCTTATCTTTCTGGCGAAGAATTTGAGGCTGTACTTGGGATGACGAAAGAAGCATTCTACAAAATACCGAAATGGAAGCAAGACATGATGAAGAAGAAAGTTGATCTGTTCTAGTAGCTACGAATTGATAGATATATTCTTTCAATTCTTAGTTTCTTCTCTTGTCATTGTGTTGTGATGATGATGATTATAGGAGTTAAGTTAGTATGGGGTCGGGTCTGAGTAAAGAGTGATTTTTTTGACTCTCTTTTTGCTGCTGCTGGTTTTACGTTACGCTATGTCCATCCATGCATCTATCCGTCCGATTGTTGGTGGGTTGGTTTGGATGGACGGATGGGGTTGTTAGATTTGGTTGGTATGTGGGCTTGAGTGAGTGAGTTTGTTTGTGCTATTTATTTATTGTTGGGAAATGAAGACTGTAATTAAATGTCATGTGTTTGTATTTCAACTCACATATTTAGGTTGAAAAGAGCTTGATGATGTTTGCTATTTTCATCTCGCTTTACTTGTGTTTTGATTTAACGTTTTCTAGTGTTTTGTAATTTGATTCAAAACGTTGGCTTATAACGACAGTTTTTCAGTAAATAAGCATAGGGCGGGCTTATTTATTTCAAAATTAAGCATATCTGAGTCTGTATTGTAAGCTATGATGATGGTCTTATGAAAAGGAATACGAGTATTGTTTTATTAAAATTAATTATATTAAATACTTAAATTATTACCCAGCAGTTCCTTCCATTTTGCTGAAAACTCTATTTGTTGTCTAATTACTCTACAACTACAACTACAACAGGTGCGGTTCAAAAGATGTGACATGCATTTTTTTCAATAAATAAGACCAATGTTCTTTTTCTAAACAAACACTTCATATACATTTAATATGAGAAATCATATATATATATATATATATATTATATATATATATATTACATTATTAGAGCAAATGATGGTGGGTTGTTTGTGGGAAAGGTGCCAAACAGTTGGTGGGGTTATGTAGCTGGCTTATTCACAACAAACAAAAGACATGCATACGAACTAAATTCAATTCGACGGGACATTACAAGCTATAAACTGGTGTTAGCTTTACAACCACAACTTTAAGCATTGGTCAATATATATATATATATATATATATATATATATATATATATATATATATATAAATAAGGATATTTTGATAACACAATTTATATACTTTATTTTGTAAAATGAAAAAACTATATTTAATGTTATTATATTTCTTTTATAAGTTTATTTAAATTTTTATAATTACAAATAAAACGGAGCAATTAAAATGTTGTGTATACATACACACATACATATTTAGATACCGTATATTATGCAAATTCATATACATGTGTGGTGGTGATATATATCTGTTCATAATTATTTTTTAAACCGATTGAATTTAAATACTAATTTTTCTTAAAAAAACTAAAATCAATGTTAAAACCTTATTAGAAAATTTAAGACCATCTCTATAAAGTATTAAAATGTCGGTTCACACACATTTTTTAAAGATCATGAATAGTAGACTTTTGAATATTTGGAACCTCTTTCAATTTACACCATGAATTCTAGTCTAAGTCCCCCCACCCCTCCCCTACTATGCACCAATGAATATGAGTGCATGTTCGTGCGAGCGAGCGAGCGTGTACACACACATATATTGAGGATTTTTATTTTAAAAAATCCATAAAATTATAATACAGTTGAAAATTGATGTAACATGTTTTGTTTCACAAAACATTTATTATATGTTATGAATATTTTCTATGTATTTGTGAAACAAAAAATACAACTAAAAAGTTTCATATTATAAAACAGATATATTATAAAATCAATATATTAAATTCTAAAATTAAACATAAAAAATAATATGAAATAATATATTTAACGATAATATTTTTTATACATAATGTGATTCATGAATTACTAAGCTTTTATATTATACTAGAAGCGTACTCGCGCAATGCAGCGAGATACATTGTGATTTTAATATTTCATTTTGTTCTTTATCTCAGTCGATGTTATAATATGACTTTATGTGATTTTGAGAAATCGATGATGTTTTTATTTTTGAATAAAATATATGTTTGAAGATATAATAAAAATTTGACAAAAATATATCGATATTAGTATCAAATTAACTATTATAAATTCCTCATTTTTTGTGTATTTTTTAATTCAATTTTTTTATAATTTAATTTATGTACAATAACGAAGTAATTTATATTTGGTTTAATAATATAATTGTTTTATAAAGATAATAATTATTTATTTTGTTGGAACTYGATAATTATTCTAATTATATTTTAGATTTTTTAGATTTTAAAATGAGATGTTCATCCTCTATTTGATTATGTTTATCCGCGGTTATTTATACAAATTCAAACATCGAGCTTTAATAAATTGTACTTATGCATAATTAATTGTAATCTTGAATTTTAAGTAATATGCAT